TAATATTTTTCACCACGAACTTTTAATGTTTAATTATGAACTAGAAATTTATTCAATAAATATTCTATAACAGCATAAATATTGTTTGATTTGATGAGATAAGTGTATCATAATAACTATTTTAATGTGAAATAATTTCATTAATGAATATTTTTTTCAGTAAACGTTAAATCATTTTTTTAAAAAGTCACGTTCATTTAAATTTGATCTACTTTTTTCGTTTAATATACTAAATAGTTCATTTTTAAATCTCAACGGATTTCCCCCTATACGTTAGCATATATATATATATATATATATATATATTACTTAAAAACTATTCGAAGTACAAAGATATCAATTACATTATCATGATGATATAAAATGTCAAATTTTAGAAATTATTGATCATGTAAACATGTTGATACTTATTTTGTTCCATTTTGAATTTATCTAAAATAAAATGTTAACCTAATACATCATTCAATTTAATTCTGTCGTATTAGCGAACTTAGTGTTATTTTTAAATAAACTACTGGTATTTAGTTTCTGAGTTGATTGTTTAAAAGAAAGTAGTAATTTTTATTTACTGCTGACATTTTCTTGTGTCTTAATTTGAGTGATATAAACAGTTTAACCATGCTATGCTAATCGAATACTACAAACATGTGATTGGATTTAAAGTTATGAAATAAAAACAAACTAGTAAACAATGTAATCTTTATTTTCTCATTTTTTAGTAATAAAAATAAGTATCTTAAATGATAAATAGGATTTTAATGAATTTCGTTCTCATTTGATATTTATTTTGAATGTCTATTTACTTTAATGTAATTCTCACTATGGGTAGATAACTGCTGATAAACATCTAAGAATTTGAAAACAATGGATAAGTAAATTTTTCTTGTTGAAGAGTGATTAACGATAGGTGACGACGATTTATTTAAACTTCAGGATTCCCGGCAAGTGTGATATTTTCATATCATTACGTCGAATTATTTCAGTTTATATAATTATTGTTAACAGATCGATATGATCGGATACTATTTTTACAGATCTGATTGCTTTCATTGTAAAATTAACTTTATACGTAACCTTAAAATATAATTATTTCTACTACAAATATGTAAAGCTGAACTAAATGGATAAATTTATTTAGTTATTTCAGTGTATTGGCAGATGTTTGGCCTACATTTGAGCTGAGGAATTACTGATTGTTGGATCATAATAATAAAACATATGAACTATTTCTATGGGATGATATATTATTTTCTTTCTTGTATCATCTGTTCTGATTGAATACACATTCGTTTTCATTATGCTTGGTAACGTAGGTAAACTGTGGTCTTTAATAGATGATATATCTAAAAAAAGGCTAAACAAATAATGTTACAGATCATATTGGGCCATATTTATCCACTGTTAATTCATTTGACCTATAAATATTCTCATTCAATCATCACTTATACTTTTAATGTTATTTAGATAGTTTTGTTCGTAAGTGTTATTATAGCAGAACCAATAGCTTTACTTACTGATATCAAATTATTTTGAGGTTTGTGTTGTTATAATTTGATTTACTAAGTAATTTCCACTTAAAATCAGTACAAACAATCTATTGTGTATTCACAAACTCACAAGCTTTACCTTCCTATAACAACGATAAACATAATGAATTAATTAGATTTCGATCTATTCTCATAGACAATTGTTCGCTTTAATAAAATAATCTAACCTTTTCAATAATGTCAAGACAGGTACATTAAATAATGAAACGACCTAACTGACCATTGTGATTTTCGAAAACTGGGATGAAAACGTAATAAATTAGTTTCAATGTGATTGTCTACATACTGATAGAAAATTGTAAAATGCCTTTAAAATAAATTCAGTAAAAGCGTACATTTATGCTTATATTTTTGCGAATAACATTAACTATGGTGTCTCATCAATTTTAACATTTTAATGTAATATCAATCTGATAAAAATGTGAAAGGAGGTTGATATTCTATTTTAGGCGATTTCTTTTCATTTTAGTCTAGTTAATATCACTCATCGTTGTTTATTCGATTTGTTTCTTCTAATTTACTTATCATTTATTCTCACCATTAAACGTTTCAGAAACTGAACGTAATGCTCTGTAATGTAAGATTATGGGACCAAACAAATAGATTATTATTTATAATATATACCTTGATTTTATGGATACATTTTATTGTTTTCTCGATTATTTTCCATCAGAAAAAGAACACATTAGACGATCGGTAGTAAACATTGAAATGTTTATTTAAAAAGACAAACAAATGTTTTATTTGATTGGTTTTTATATTTGTCCAATTCTAATCAATAAGGTTCCCAATATTTTAAATGTATTGAATTCAATCCCAAGTTTGTAGATTGTTTACTTTTTACTTTGATAGGTTGCGTAAACAATTTAGGTACTTTAATGGACAGATAAACACAAAACCGATTCACTTAAAATATTAGTACATTTTGAAGAGTTTTAAAACAAAGACGACATATAGCCTTATTTAACATTCATCAAAAATGAAAATTCAGACATTTATCAACAAGTTAATAAGCAGATTTACATATGAAATGTATATACCAATTGAAATGTCTCTTAAAGTACTACTTGAGACATTGAAAACAGAAAAAATGTTTTCATTGTTTTAAAATTTCGCTTATTTTTCAAAAATAATTCAAAAATTTACTTTAAGTTTTTCTTGAATCATTTTGATATATCTGGTCGCCAGTTTATATCTTATATTTTTGTCTGATATATTTCCAATAAAATAATGTTTTCCTTCAATCTTTTGACGGTTTTGATGGGAAAATGTTTTATTAGTTATTTTTAATAAACTATTTTTCTCAACACAAAATACAAATTTTGATTGATTTCTTAGATATTTCTAGCTGAAATATAATGAGGGGAAGAATGAAGCTAGAGACAAAAAAATCAGTACAGAAATTTATTTTTTAAAACTTTATAATCTGGCTTTACGATTGTGTATCTGTTTTCTGTATCCATGATGGAAAAGCTGTGGTCGCTTTCATGTGAGTTAGCTAGCTCACTTACTGTTGAAGGACACGTTGCATAGACCATAGTCAAAGCATGCTTCCAAAACGGACACGAGTACATATTCCAGTATGGATCAAGAAGGGTATGAGGAACGAGGTTATGAGTCTTATGACAAACCCACGTATTGGTTCTAAGATTGCTCGTAAAATTCACCCATATCTAGGAAGGTAGCTTCCTATCCAATTTCTTTAGACAGATGAAGCTCTTGGTATCTACGAGACGATGCAATAATGTTTTGTACTAAATCAGTTTGTCACATCCTCATCTTTACCGTACCGTTAACCTGACTGCCTTTAAAAATATACCATGTTCATATGATGTCTCCCGTAATTTTTATTGATATCGTCGTATTTAGTTTCTCTGAAACCTTAGATTGTTGTGATCAAAAGCACCTTATTCATCATGCTCTACTGACATTATATTCAAATATTGGATCATTAATATTCAACTTTCTTTGCAATTCGTACATCCCACAGCAGTTACATAAACTTTCATTATTATTTGCATTTTGAAATCTGGTAGTTAAATCGTTCTATTACATAGTCTTATTTGTTCATTGTTTACAAGCTGTTGAAAAGTTAGCAATACGATAAAACCTACTACGTTTACGACACTTAATAACGAAAATTCAATTTTTCAAAGGAAAAGTTTTCTCGTTCATCAAAGTCACCATACGAATTACTTACAGAAATAATAGAATTTAATTTTCGTTTGCGTATAAGGCTTATTATACTTTATGTAATTTTCTCTTAAAATATGAGATGTATTGGAGTAATGAAATTTATTAACAATTTTTTGTATACGCTTATTATGAACATACCATGCTTCTGATAGTAAACTAATTAAATGTTATGTTTGGTAAGAATTACTTTATTGAACTCATGTGATTCGCATAAACTAAAAATTATTTAATGAAAAGGTTTGGAAATAACTATACGAATGTTAAATATATTAGCGCTCGCGATTTTCTAATCAAACAAACTTCTATATTTTTAAAATGGCTTAACTAAAATATTATCAATATTATTTATCGTTAAATGATTAGCTAACAAATTAGCCTTTTGTTTCACATTGTTTCGTGCATTAACGGTATTATAAACGTTTTCAATTATCTTATTACATTCAAAACCAATTTGCCTTCTTGACACACGACATACATTTGTATTGAAGTCACTGTCCCGCTTTATGGAATTTGTCTTTGACAATTAAATTATATCATATGATGAAATGTTAGCACACGTTCTATATCTATCGTACACTATAACACTCTAATCATTTAATATTTAACTCAATTCGTTAAAATAATTCAAGAAACAATTAAAATGAAGTTATAGATCATAAACTATTTCGATCATTTGTACGTATCTTTTACTATTTGTGGTATGAATAAAGTTTTTTCAACCGATGTCAATCATTTAAATAACCTTTTTAATGTTTAGTTTTTTCATACAAATCAAAATATTTACACAGTGAGATAAATATTTTGTGTATTATGATGCTTTCATGATGAAATGCTTTAATCTATCATTTAATATGGTGTTATCACACTAACGTTCAAAGATTGAAACTACGTTTACCAATTATGTAATTTGTAGGGAGAAAATAACTTTTTTTCGTTTGTCGATCTTATGATTATCGGTTAGCTAACGGTTATTTTAAAAATTTATTTTTGATTCATGACCAGGGAAACCTTTTTTAAAAATTATATAAACAACTATATTTTCTGTAATAAGATGAAAATGTTTATGCCGTTTGATAAAATACGTTAATTGTCAATGAGCACATCAACATTAAATTAACGTTTCGGTAGTTGATAGAGATTAAACAAAAAAAAAACATTTGCTTTAAAGTCATATGTAGTTTATTTATTAAATATTTAAATGAAATTTTTTTTTGAAATATTTTCTATCGGTAATTTCCTTTGAATTTTTTTAAATAGGGGTATCATTCGTATTCGAGTAATGGATGATAATAATTACGAGAAATCAGAGTATTTCTATGTACAACTTGGTGAACCAGTTCTTATTGACAAAGATGGTAAGATTATATTTTTATTAACTTTTTATTAAATTAATCAGTTACTGGATTTGTGAGGTTTATGAAAATATAACCAGTATGTTAAACAGGTTGTTTTCAATTTATACTTTATTTAATGGAATAAAATTAAATAAAGATGCTATTAACCTTCAAATATCAAAATGTTAAGTTGTGATGTCGAATATTGAAAACTGGCATATTTCATTATCGACAAGTTTTAAAATTCTAGGTTTCCTTTGCATATAGATCATGTTCTATAATTGACATATAATGACAATGGAATCAATTGGAAAATGTCTGGTATTACATCTTTATAGTCCTTCTTATTGTGACGTAAAAGAATATTTTCAAACTTCATTTTTCAATGGCATATCAAATTATTTAAGAATTAGATTACTATTTCATGTTCTTATTGTTAATATTAGTAGTTAGTTTTCCGACTTCTTTACTTTAAAATAGATTTTTATTGAACACTATTTAGCCGAAATTCTATCTTATAGTTAAGAATTCACTTGCTAACTTAAAAAAGAACTTCAAATCTGTTCGCCAGTGACAACGGTGAAAAAGAGATTTAAACATCAGAAATCATGGTTTTTAACTAACTAACGTATACTACAGAATATATGTTAACTTTAATTCCTAGGTAGCAGTTCATGTAGAATTCGTTTAGAAATGACAAAAGAGGTTTCAATTATACTTATAACTACAAACATTTGTAAATCAAAATATATTTGTTTCAAAGATCTTTCCAACTCAATAGAATCACTTTTTCTGATTGTATTATATTGTTTTTTTTCTTGTTTATTAACTTTTTAATGACCCATTCACAAATAACAAAATCGACAAATGTACATTCGTTTGCGTTTTTTAACAGAGTTCTTTACAAAAACTAAACAGAAACTCACTTCCATTTCCGGGTAATCAACAGACTAATGAAAAATTGAATTCAATGTTATCTCAGCACTAATCATTTATTGTAACGCTTGAAATAATCATTAGTTGCTTATTTGTCATATATTTTTAGATATTTATGTGAGTGGTATACCAAGAATCATTAAATAATTATTTTATAATTATCTAATTTAAATAGGTGTTTAAACAATTGTTGTCAATATTGCTTCATCTTATTTGAATTGACTAGGCAAAACTAAAGAGATAATATGAGTTCTTTCACTTCATGTTTCCTATTTGACTGCTTACAACTGAAAAAACAATAGCATTAACCATTTTAAACTGATTTGCCCACGTTATATCAGATTAGCAGAGATTAGTAAAAAAATAGCAGTACATATTGAAGAATTATAAAAATGTACCAGTGGTTGAATTGCTAAATGGTATCTAGTGTGAAACCATTAAAACTTTTATTACGCTATTGAATTATGATACTTTGAGGTTGTCAACTTAGTGTGACATTCATGACTGAATTCTAATTCGATGTATACGGTGAAATGCCATCGGTGAAATAAGACATGTTTAAACGTATTTGAGTGCTTCTTGTTTTGAACGAACCATTTGTATTCGTTAGTTGAATCTTCGTGTTGATCTTAAGGACTGGAATTGGTCAGTTTCTTTTTGACACATTTAAGTTCTGTTTGGATTGGTACGATATTCCTTCACTTCATAAAGATTATGAGCAGAGATAAATGGTGATTAGCAGTGGAATCCAGGACACACGTTTTGTCTTATTCTGGGCCTCTCAGCTAGATGTATTTTGTGACAAAACAGCTATCCGGCAGCACATTCTGGTCTTCAATGCTTATGTAGATGAAGCCAGTACAAGACGTAGATTAACTGTTGAAGTATCACCTCAAACTCTCTAAATTAACAACAAAATAAGATTTTAATTTTTTTGTGTTAGTTATTTGAATCATCCCACTGATGTTAGGAATTATTATTGAATAGTCTCTAACCACAATCCATTTCTGCTCATAATGCTTGTGACTTGATTTCAGAATTGAGGTAATCCTCATAGGATGCACATATTCCAAACAGAGACTGAGAAGTTGCAGTCTTGAATATCACTGGAAAGATTCAGGCAACCAATACAAATGAATTAAACTTTACTCCATTGGACAGGCCAGCGGCCATTGAATCTCAGTAGCTAAGTTGATATCGCGATGGCGTTTGAAACAGACAGTACTGAGTTAGAGACACGGAGTGAATATTAACTCTGGGATCCAGGTTCCTCCATCTGATGAGCCTCAAACAGGACAAGATACGCGTCCCGAATTCCACTGCTATCCATCATCCGTTTCATATGTGTTTTATTACTGAATTCGACAACAAATATTAGGCTTTGATAAAACCACTCAATCATTTTGACAGAACTTTTGGTTTGAATGAAACAGAATGAAGTATTAATATTAATCGTTTAAAGATCCCTGTCATATTAAAAGATTAGTATTTGAATGAAGAATATTTTTTCGATAAATTCTCTTCAGGTTCTACAATTATATATCCAAATTAATAGTCCGAAAAATGGCCAGGTTAAGGGTAAAGTACATCGTTTAAAGCATGTGAATTTAGGATTGTGATAAACAAAATACAATAAAATTGTTAATGTTGATATGACTCATATAGAATGTTAACTTGAATCTGCCTATATGTTAAGTGAGATTTTAAGATCCATGATCAGAATGAATATGGGTCAAGTAGGGTGAGAAAAATAACAGTGCAATTACCGATGATCAAATAAGTAAGACGTAATAAGGAAAGAATGCAAAGTGAATGAATCATGTATAGGAGAGATTAATAATGATGTTTAACCAATAATACGAATAATAATAATAATAATAATAATAATAATAATAATAATAATAGTACAAAGATTTCTGAATAAAGATAACAGAGAAAATTACAATTGACTACGAAAGGTCATAGTCAAATTACGTCATTCAATAGTTAAGATTACGATTGAATAATTGGCCTTGATGTTGGCCAGGGGAGGAGGAGTGATTGAATATATTTCTTCATCCGGATGGGAAACAAGCCCCCCTGTGATATCTTTATCACAATTAATGACATTTGTTCACAATCAGTAACATCCATTGATTTTAATTTCCATGTGCTTCTATAAGTTTGTGAAAAACATACTCAGTACTAATTGATGCTAATACAATTAATGAATTGAAAGGATTGCTTTTACAACACATTTCATGTAAATAAATGAAATTATAGACGGTTAGTTGTTTAAGAATCTTTAATACATATTTCAGGATCATACATATTGAATGTAATTTTTATGCTGTTTTTACTGTCTTTAAAATAAAACCCTTCCCAAAATGTTTTTGTATTATTGCATGATTAATTTTATGATACATAATGTTAAATTTTTTTATCTTGGTTATTCATCAGCACGTTTGTTTAACACTTTCGTTTTAAAATCAGAGTCATCACTTTTTTCAAGGGCTTGTTAAATATTTATAGTGTTGACGAAGTATATAATGCTTAAGTTGGCACATTACCTAATGAAAGAAAGATCCTGTACTACTGTGGAAATTTTAATATGTACAATAATTACCTTAATACCATATTCATAGCTACGTTAAATATATATTGATCTTAATTAAACAAATTGAAGAGTTAAATTATAATGAAAATCATTACATTTCTATGATGATCATGAAATTTCTGATCTAGTTTTATTTAATTCAAACATTTTTTTTTAGATAAAACCCACTAAGCTGAAATTTTGGTTTATGTAACTATTTAGAAGTTCAATTTGTTCTTCTAGAAAATGTAAACAACATTAAATAAAGTTTTATACTTTAATCAACTTTTTAAATAAATAACTTGTATTAAATCTTTTCAATATGTCATTATTATTATTATTGTAAAACGTTCTGTTACTTGTAATCAGTTAATGATATTTTACTGTAGCTAGTATAAACTCCTAAGATCTTTTTCAAAACTATCAGTTTTTTGGTAGATTTTTGTTTTCATTTTCCACTTTTCTATATATGTCAAGGAAAAACAAACCGTGTTATACGTTTTGATATCATTTTTAATCGGTAACGTTTCTGCTATCATGTTACAATTTTAGCGAATTGACATCCATTATTCTTCGAGCAAGATGGTATGCTCGTTTGTTGCCTCAATTTAGTAGATATATATATTTTCGACTTGGGGATTATGAGAATAATTGTTTTTACATTATGTTTTTGGTAAATAAATGGCGACTTTTATTGATTTTATCCCATTCATCTTTGACAGGTCATTTAATCCTCAATAAATAAATTAGCTTTAAAAATAGAACATAAGTCACTATAATTTTGTTTTGCAATCTCATTTACAGGACGTAAATCCATGATTGAAAAAAATATATGCACTCAGCAATATAATTAAAGTAGTTTTCTACATGAAAAAAATGGAACTCTTATCAGTATTTCCATGGTAAACTGAAAATTCTTTACAATTTTAATATATCTATTATCGTTAAACATTTATTCTGCAAACCTTTCATTTTCTGTTGAATATTCACATAACAGTTTCTGTTAAAAAAAAGCATGAGTTATGATGATACAACCTTCTCTGTCTACTTATAATAAATTAACAAACATCTTTAGAATTGCATATTAAATTCATTCAATTTAACAACAGTTATGTTAATTAAAGCACTATAAAATACCTCATAAAATCCGTTATAAAAACTAATTGCTTTCGTTTCAAACTAAATAATGATGAACACGTTCAATTTATTGACTTATGAATATAATTTAAAACGATGATAATAATATAATTTATACTTAAATTTAGAAATAGCAGTTGTACGATCCATGAATAAATTCCGTCGAGCTCGTGAAAAAATTAAAGGTTAGTAGTCAAAACAATAGTGCTGATTGGGTTAAGCGCTAAGTTATTACCGCTATTTTTTCTTTATATTTACTATGCCTTTTTATCTATAAATTAGTTACTAATAAAAAATAATCACATTTGATAAAAACATCCTTTATCACAATGATTTAACAAAAATTTTGGTGAAGTGATTAAATTAAATAGAT